AGTCAATCGCATGTGACTGAAAAAATAAAATGCAACTTTGGGATATATAAAGGAGCATAAACTCCAGTCAGAGGAAATAATTATCCCATTTTGCCCATTTTCTGGGAACTTCAGTATAAAAAGAACATTGGCAGACTGACTGCCAAGATAGTGAGAGGATTGAAAAAAGAAAGGTGATGGACCCTGAAACCACTAAATATTAGCAGACTTAACCAAAGGGATATTTTGAATGCATAATAGAATTAGAAGCCATTATAACAGCAAAGTTGCGCAAAACAAACTACTGGCAGGGAAGGGAATAAGCATTAAGGAACATACAATAGTAAGAAACAAGTTCTCTTTGTCCTGAGATAAATCCAGTATATACAATCAATGGCAAGGCTGTTTGTTTCCTGAATCAAATACGGTTTGTTCCTAATGAGGTATATTGAAAAAGGTGATGCAACCTGTATAAACTGGCTGCCTTATAAACTGTTGTCTTCTCTGAAAACATCCTGTAGCTACAGAGGTATTATATATTTAAAAAACCAAATGAAGGAAGTTTATCCTAGAGTTTTGGCTCACAAACAGGATGCTGGGATCAATGGAGGGCCACTGAATTAAAAGACACCACTGTTGTTGGTGTTCAGGTATACAAAGGATTGTCATATATAGTAGATCAGGAGTGTCAAACTCACGGCCCACGGGCCAGATGTGTCATGTGCTGGCCCTGGCCCCGCCCCCACCCAGTTTAGCGAAAGGGGATAAAGCCCTGATACGTCACGTGACACCGCCATGATGACGTGAGTTTGACAACCCTGTACTAGAGACTGGACCTATTCTCTCTTACTCTGAAAGACACAACCAATGAGCTTACAGAGAAGTAGACTCGGGTTAGCCATTCAGAGGAATTTGCTGATGGTAGGAATTGTTAAACAAACTGTTCAACCAAGTGCTTCCTTTCATTGGCTATTTCATTCAATGGCTTTCATTGGATGTATTCAAATAGGCTAGTAAATCCTGTTTATTATTATTATTTTGTCTGTGTGTGGTTTTTTTTTTATTACAGCTCTGTGATGCACTGTAAAATAGTATGGTGACCTAGTGGTGAAGATGCTCATCACCCATTCTGAAGGCTGAGTTTAATCCTAGGTAGCAGTAGATGTTTCTCTCCTAGGGCATAAAGAAAAAATACCTGCTGCAAACTCCATAGGCATCAGGGAGGACATCAGGCCAGTAAATGCTCAGGTCCACACAGTTGCCCCGACTCTAGGGCGTTTCTATGATATGCTGTAGGTTTAAACTACCTCTATATAATATCAAAGACTAACTGAGCAAGAGTGGTTAAATGATCTGTAATGTAACAGTAATGTAAAGTACATCAAATAGGAAGGAGTTACATCCCTTTATCTTAAAACGATTTTTTAATATTTCTGCATTGCGCTGAAACAATAGGCACATGTAGAGTTATTTAACCCAACACAACAGTGGGTTATATAAAAATTGTGTCAATGAGTGAGTGGATGAAGATGAACCTGTCATTATTATACTGCATATTTGAGTTTTCAAAACACTTTTTACAAACTTCTCTTGAAGCTTTTACTAAAATTGTTCATTAGGGTTTCTTCAAAAAAATGTAGAGTTCATGGGAACTGCTTAATTCCTTATGTCTCCCCAAAGAATAGAAGTAAATGAAAAATTATAAGAAGCAGAGCCCAACAAGGATGTGTTTGGACTCAGCTTTTAAGCTTGTTCATAAATGAACTTGAATAGAGGGTAAGAATGAACTGGCCAACTTTACAGATGATGTCAAGTATTCACGTAGTGAAACCAAGATTGTGAAGAGCCTCAGAAGAATCTTTTAAAATCATAATTCTTATAAAGAAAAATAACAATGATCCTAAGTGAAGATGTAACCCTAAGTGAGGCTATAAACATTTTCAAAGGTGTTAATTTCAGACAGAAATAAGTAACAAAGCATGCTATTTAATTGCAAACACCATAGATACGTGAATCATAGTGAGATTATAAGAAAAATAAGAAAAAATAAATAAAAGAAACAATAGGACAGGGACAATAGGCATGTTGGTGTGCTTATGCATGCCCCCTACAGACCTCTTAGGAAAGGAGTCAGGTCAATAGTAGGCAGTCTAAGGTTAAAATTTTTGGGGTTTTGTTAAAGTTTTGGGGGTTTGGTTAATAAGTGTAGCAATCATTCTGAAATTTCCCTTCCATAGTTTAGATAACTTTTATCTTGTTTAATATTCGTTTTTTTTTCCCTGTTTTTAATAAAGGAAAACCTGAAAATAAAAGCAATACGGCTTCTGGTTTGAAGTCTCTTCGGTGACAGACAGAAATCCGCGATCGTGCGCGGTTTTGGTCTGGGCTCGCTGCTGGAGCGCCCCGAGCTGGCTGGTTTCGGGGCTAAGCCACCCCGTAGAGGTGGTGAAGAGGGGGGAGACTGCCAGCAGGGTTGAGGAGAGCCGCATCTCTCCTCCTCAGCTGGCCATTACTCCCTTTCCCGAAGGCGGTTGCAGCGGTGGTCAGAAATGGCCACCACAAAGAAGAACTCGACCGGAAAAGAATGTGCAGGAGGAAGATAAGAAGTGAAAGTTTTGGCTGACCTGGTTAAATTGTAAAAGCAACAACTAAGGTACCCTGGAATTTAAACTTACAAAAAAATAACATCGCTCCCAAAGAAGAGTCGGAAGCAGTGAAGGAAAGTAAAAAGGGAAAGATTTGGTCTTTTTTTTCTTCTCTTCCCTTCCCTATACTGACAACTAAAAGACTTAAATAAGAAATCGGAAAAATCCGCTTTGACATCAACAGGCAATTAAGCTGAAAATAAAACAAAATGTCAAAGGGATAATAAAGATTTCTGGACACTAAATTTTTTTTTTCATAAGCAGGAAGGGAGAGAGAAAGAATAAGGGCAGGATCTGGAAGAGGGAGGAGACTGCCTGGAATTAAAAAGAATCTACAATAAAACTTCAATAAGACTTCTAAAAGATACATTTTAACTGAAACTTTGTAACTAAACAGTAACCCCAGGAAGAGAAAGTGAAAAAAAAGAGTAAAAAGAAACAGCCTGCGTGTATTTGGATTATTTGGTGTTCTATAGATTCTTGCTTATTACATTTGAATGACTAAAATTAATCGGGTGGTTGTTTAAAAATTTATACAATGGCATCACTTCTAGATGAATTGAAAATGGAGCTTAAAAAGTACAAAGAAGATGCACAAGAAGGGAAGGGCTCTTTTGGCTTCGTTTTTCAATTCTTAGAAATGGAGATTTGGAACTATGAGAAACAACAAGAAACGTCTGCAAAACAAGAAGACTGTGACAAAGAAGAAGCCATCTTTAATGAACAAGTAATTTTATGTGGGGAGGAAAAAGGAAAGGGGGGGAAAGAGAATGGAGAATTTAAGACTTAAAAAAACAACCAAAGAAAAGAAAAATAATTCAAAAAATAAGTATAATACTGGAAAGCAAAGAAAAGGGGAATACAGAAGAGAAAAATAGAGATAGAGAGACAAGGGGGTAAAAAGGGGAGAGAGAAGAAGAGAGGGAAGAAGGAAAGTAAAAGAAGTTACAAAGGACCGGAACAAGATATAGAGAAACAGGACCTATTTAGAGATAATGGGTGAAAATTTAACTGAAAAAGGGATTCTGTAAAGGTACATAAGTTGTATTGTTATATTAGTAATAGAAATAACTTTAGAAAATTGGAAATAATGTATGATTAAAATGAGGGATAAAACAGTTAGTGTAATTTAGTGAAATGTTTGTTAATAAAATAAGTGAAATAAAATAAATGAGAAAATTGAATTAGGAAGGAACGGGAACATCTTAATTAGTTAATGTTTTATAAAATATAAGTGAAGAGGGGGGAGAATTAATTATGGAAAGCTTATAATTGTTTCCATAGAAGTATGATATTTAATTGAAAAGTAATGGTAAAGAAGTTAAGATTTTAATGAATATTAATATTAATGATAGAATTGAATGGAATGTGTTGTTTTAATTACATACATTTATAATTTTTTTCTTTTTTTAAGAATATAATGTGTATTTTAAGAATGTACCAAGCAGAATCCGAATGAAATTATGTATTATATTGAATGTCATAACTTTAGGGTATATATTGAAGCCTAAATAGGAGTTAAATGGATAAACTTAAAAGATATAAAGGCGTCATACTCCAATCAGTAACTACAGGAGAAATTTTGTTTAATGAGAAAAGATAATAGATAATTGAAACAGGACAGACAAAAAATATAAATATAATGATTTGAATTGAGAAGAGATAATTAAAATAAAATTGAGAAAATTAAAAGAGGGGAGAAGCTATGCTGAAAATGTAAAACAGTAATAAGATATGGAATAGAATATAAAAATGAGCATGAAGTCGAATTTGTGTCTGTCCGAAGAAATGTAACCCGGGATTTTGCTACTTTCAAAAAAGATGTTTTATTTGTATTTTTTTTCTTTGTGAAAACTCAAATAAAATTTACAAATATATAAATAAATAAAAGCAATACAAATGATAAACATGATTTGTCATTATGGTTTTAATGTTCCTGTCCGTATTTCCGATTAATTTTTTTTATTAGAGCTGATTGTAGGAATAGAAATTAAATATGTAAACCATGCGTTAATATTCCCAAAATAATATCCTCCATATGCTACTCCACGTATGAAATTAAATGCATAGAGAAATAATGCCCTGTTACTCATTAGAACAGGGTTCTCCAATCTCAGCAACTTTAAGACTTGTGGACTTCAACTCCCAGAATTCCTCAGCCAGCAAAGCCAAGGTTGCAGATCCCTGCATTAGAACACTTGGGGGCGAAGCATTGAGAAGTATTACAATGATTTGCCTGAACGGGGAAAAGGAGAAAACAGTCGAACGTGAGGGAGAGAGTCCGCGTGTACATTTTCTGCAATGTTTTCATTTTTCTAGCTCTATCGGACACCGCAAAAAAAAAGGAGGGGGGAGGGCGGGGCCGCTTCACCCGCCGCTGAGGCGCAAATACAGCTGAGCGCCGTCAGGCGGCACATTGTCGTCAAAGGAGGCGGGATGGTTTCCCGCTGCTTTTCCCGCTCAAACGCCGTTCCCGCCGTTTGAAGGAGGACCTGTGGCGGATAGGAGATGGTAAGCCGGCGCCCGTGTCCGCCGGGCTTGCGAGGTTTCTAAGGTCACTCAACCATATAGCGGGCTGTAAAGGCTCTCTCTCTCTATATAATGATTTGATGATGTCCTATATATATATATATATAATCGAGGGACCATGTTTTTTCCCTGTTGAACTACAGTTCCCATCATGCCCAGCGCCCGTTGAGGTGCCCGGGGAAAGTGGGAAGTTGGAGTCCAACGCACGGATGGAAGAAGCTGGTTGTAATTAACCTCTTTTCCTCGAGGTTTTAGTCGGGCTTGTAAGAAATTAGGTTTTCAAAGATCAGCTTCCTGCACCTGATGCGTCCTGTTTCAGCGCAACCCCGTTATCTTCAGCTAGCGTGTGGTTGATGAAGGGCTAGTTGTAGTGTCACAGACAACCCACTAGTAAATGTCTTTGAACTCCGCAAGGCTTTCCCTTATCAAGGAAGAGGGCACTGACAGAAAGCTTTGGATCTCTTAAATCAGGACTGGGGAACGATGGCCCGTCTATGACTTGTGGACTTCAACTCCCAGAATTCCTGAGCCAGCCTTACTCAGCCATGCTGTCTCAGGAATTCTGGGAGTTGAAGTCCACAAGTCGTTCCCCAGATCAGTCTTAAGTAATTATTCTCACCCCATATGATACATAAATCAACTAGATTAGGGGGTCTTCAAACTTGACAGCTTTAAGACTTTTGGACTTCAGCTCCCAGAATTCCTCCTCCAGTCATGTCAGCTCAGGAATTCTGGGAGTTGAAGTCCACAAGTCTTAAACTTGCCAAGTTTGAAGACCTTTGGACTAGATCAAAACAAAGCTCTATATTTTACTTACACTTTCTCTCTTGCATTTAATCTTTGCAACAATCCTGTGAGGTGGGTTTGAGACAGAATCAATAAAGAATCATTTTGACCATGAATTGAGGTTTTATAGCAGTCTCCGCTTTAATTCTGTGTATTACCAGTCCTCCCTTGCTCCTACAGAAGCCAAGCAGACTTTGGGGAGAGGATGGTGAATAGGTATCATATTTCCCCACCTTACTATACTGGATCTATTAAATATAGATAGCAACATAAATTGTCATAAGTTGTGGACTAAGTGAGATATTTGTTAAGTGAGTGTTGTCCCATTTTACGACCTCTCTTGCCACAGTTTTTCAGTGAACCATAGCAGTTGTTAAGTTAGTAAAATGGTTAAGTGAATCTAGCTTCCCCATTGACTTTGGTTGTCAGAAGGTTGCAAAAGGTGATCACATGATCCCAGGGCACTAGAACCATCATAAATATGAGTCAGTTGCCAACCATCTGAATTTTGATCACATGACCTGGGAATGCTATGGTCGTAAGTGTGAAAAATGGCCATAAGTCAATTCTTTAAGTAATGTTGTAATTTTGATAAGTCATTAAATGAACTGTTGTAAGTCAAGGACTACTTGTACACACAATTCATACTCTGGTTCTGAACACTTTCATTATTATATCTAGTAATCCCAACATATAGGGTAGTAGTTTAGTTTAATCAAGTAATAAATTAGTAGTAGTAGTAGTAACAGCAGCAGCAGTAGTAGTTGAATAGTGCAAGATTGGAAGATGTAGAGAGACCAGGCAAACAGAATTACCAAGAGTTGGAAACGTCTGAATGCATAACATCAATCCCAAAGCGTAGGGATATTGCTGTATGGGATATGTAAATTGATTAGAATAAATCTTCACTTTTTAAACTCTTTTTTTTGCTGGAGTTGCGCCTCTGCTTCTGGGTTTTGCAGAGTTAGCCATCAGTATTTAAGAAATCCATAATAGTAATGGTCATTCCTTCCCTTCATTATCTGTCCAGGAATTGTCTTTACACATCATGAATAACAGCTGTTTAAAGATTTATCTTCTTGTGAAAGTGAGTGGGATATTAATCCTGGAAATTTAAAAACAACAACATTTTTTTAAAAAAAATCCCCAAGTAATACTAATCTTGTACAGAGTATGTTTTGATTATGTTTATAAATTATTCCCTTTAGAATTCTGTTTACTGCACAGTAAAACTTGTAACCGAGGAAGATAAATGCATATATATGTTTATATACCCCACCATAAAACACAACTTGATACTTTATAGTGCATATAGCTATGGAAATAACTTGGACCATAGCCAGTTAAATGAGGGTGGTGAAACACATTATTTTAAACAAGTGATTTACAACTATTAGTCTTAAAACCTGTTGTTGAAAGTTGAACAAATGTTTTACTATTGAGTTCTTGAAATTTAACCCCTATTAAACAGCCCACACTGTTTAATTGATTACAATGAGTTAAACTATGTAAATAAAAGCATTGCCAGGGAAGGGTAATTCAGTAGTTAATATTGTATCTACTCTCAACTTTGGTATGTGTAACATTATTGCTAAATAAATTATTGATAACCGTAGAAAGAAATGGGTTGCTTTATCATAGTTGTCATTGCATGACAGATAATATGTATTTTGGACACTATTTCTTTCATAGTGACTCTGGACATTTTTTAGTGTAGTTTTTCTATATTGTGTTTCCCAAAACTCTCAGAATGACAAGCTGCATAAACAAGCAGGTATAAAAATAGATTAGCAGTATAGCAATAGCACTTAGACTTATATACTGCTTCACAGCCCTCTCTAAGCGGTTTACAGAGCCAGCATATTGCCCCCAGCAATCTGTGTCCTCATTTTACCAACCTCAGAAGGATGGAAGGCTGAGTTAACCTAGAGCTGGTAAGACCCGAACTGTAGGTAGCCAGCAATCAGCAGAAGTAGTCTGCAGTACTGTGCTACCACTGTGCTGCCACAGCTCACTAATGGATTTGTGCAATAATTTGCTAGAACTTGGCAACTTTTGGTTGATCTTAAAAAGATATTGCTATACTATATCAGCTGGTTTAGTAGAAGCTGCAGGCAGACTTTCTACCGTGTTTCTCATATAATAAGGCCGGGTCTTATTTTTTTTTGAGCCCCGAAAAAATGGCTAGGCTGTCTTTTCGGGGGTGACTTAATTCCCCCCCCCTTGCATCTTCGGGCAGGCGGGCAGCGACGGCTTGGATGTTGACCTCGGCGTTGGTGGGGCACTTTGTATCAGGGTCAACGCAGGCAGCACCATATCCGGGTGTGCAACAAAAGTATTTCCTAACAGCAAGCCCCCCCGCCATTTCCCCCCATTTCACGTGTTTTAATATAGGCCTTAATTTGGGGGGAGGGGCTTAATTTCATTTCATGCCTATAAAACATGCTGGGACTTCCTATTGGGGGAGGCCGTATTGTTGGAGAAAAAGGATAAATGATCTTATCTAGCAAATAGGAGTCTTAAAGAAAAAAGCTTGTTTTTTGAATAGCCATGTTTATTTATTTCCTATACTTTTATGTCACACAAAATGCAGGTGTGTGTGTGTGTGTGTGTGTGTGTGTGTACAGTCAGTATAGAACTATTAAAATATATAGAAAATGTATTTTGGGCATTAGAAGAAAATCTTTCATTCAGCTTTAAAAAGTAGTTTGTTTTAAAAATCTGTTCATTTTTGGAATTGTTATTAGTTTGTTTTATACATTTACTTTGTAATTTATAAATATACTAGCTGGATAACTGTGGTTCATGATAAAAGTTTTGTGATCGGGCTATGCAGGAGAAATTTGGTTCACAATCCATTGGCTCAGTGGTGGTCAGTGATTGAAACACATAAGGGAATATTGCTCCTGCTGCCTTGAGTCCAAAAGCAGTTCCATAGGTGGAAAGAGTAGACATTTTGGTGGGTTAGTACTGTAAGGAGCCCCAGGCCGCTCCTGAGTGAAGGAATGGAACATCTGCCAGTTTGAAATGAGGTAATGGAATGTGAGGCAACTGGCAATTGGAACATAATTCTTTTCAGGTGGGGAGGGAGAGTAGAACTCCTTAGAATCAGAGTGTTAATTACTGTATAAAAAATACTAATGATCTGATGGTCATTTCGAAAAATCCTTTCTTAGTGAGCACCTAGAAGCCAAGAGGAACATACATGCCAAATTTCAAGTTTGTACATTGTTTTGTATTAAATTATTCTATATTTTTATTGTGACATACATGTAGACATTATTATTATGGAATAATATAAATAAAACAAAAGTATATGATTCTACAGTGTCAAGACAATATTCCTTGTATTTTCAACAGGATAAATGAAACAAACACATCAGAAACAAGTTTTATATTTGAATGTCTTAATAGTTTTGAAGTAGTTGCATATACTGATATTTCTGTTGAAGAAAAAAATACAACATTAAATTACTATAGGTAGTAAAATCTATGCAGATAAACATATAAAACTAATTTTATGGCTGAAATCATTTATATCATCTTTTGAATATAATTTTATATATAAAACTGCAAATAAATTTGGGAAATTTTCACAAAGTCTATCAAAGCTGATTCCCATCAGATAGGTTGAGACCCTTCAGTCTCTCGGTGTAATCCTTCATTTTAACTTATGTACCTAAGATTTTTGGTTTTGAATGCAGTTATTTATGTAGCATGGCTTTTCCTATTTAGTCAAAGAAAAGAGGTTTGAGCGTTGAAGAGAAGAGAACTCGAATGATGGAAATCTTTTTTGAAACAGTAAGTAATATTTGTTGCTTTCTATTACTTTGGGTTTTTTTTTAAAAGAAATTGTGAATCTGATTTGAAAATACAGGGTTGCCAAGAGGATGGTTAAAGATCCTTGCTATATACTAATGGCTGTAGTCACTTCCATGATGCCTAAGAGTAATTTATCATGTAAACTCATGTGGAAAAATGATCATGTCAAGAAAGGCATACAAATTTTAGACGTTATCTGTGAACTCTTCTTGAATTATACATTCAATCTGACAACTGTCCTTTGATAAATTGCCTTTTAATGTAAAACATTCCAAATATTCTAAGAAATGTATATAGTGTTTTATATATTTTATCTTAATTTAAGGAAAACTATCTTAGTATAGATAAAAAGACTTTGATGAATCAGGAACCTATAATTATTGACATCCTAATGTTAGTCTACTTGCATTATGAGATGGAGCAAGGAAAATGCATACATGAATAAATATATTTTTAATCTGGAATATTATCATATTTTTATGTGTAGAGCTCTGAGTCATATAATACTACAGTGCTATAAAGAAAAATAGTTTTCATGTTAATATATTTGTTTTCTTTGTACTTTATTTTGAATTTCATGTGAAATTTATAGTTATAAAACTATTTGGCTGTAGAATGCTGAACAACAGAATTTCATTTGATTTACTGCTTTCTAAATTTAAAAATGAACCAAATTAAATGTTCTTACTTTCACAAATATTTGCTTATTATTGTCTACTTTGGATGGTTTTTAAAGATATTCTTTTACATGATCCTGCAGCAATAGTTCCATCTAGTTTTATACCTGAAAAGGATACTTCTAGAACAGATACAAAACATACATTAGCAGTTATTGATATCACCCTATAAAAGTGTTAAAATAAATGAAGAAGAAATACAGTAACTAATATTTAGTAAATAGCAGAATACAATTACTTTAGGAGCAAAGAAATGCATGTGTCTTTTGAGGAAATGCAAGTGATTAAATGGTTTTTAAATTCTTATTAGAAAATATCTTCCAATAGTCTGGTTAAATTATTTTTAACATAGTTTTTCTTCTTTTATTCTTGCAATGCATTTAAGTGAGAGAATTTAGTGAGTTCAGTAATGTTTCTGTCATTTGCTATAATAGGAACAAATTACAAAACAAACTGTTCTCTTCTCACTTTTTTGGTATCAGAAAGATGTATTCCAATTAAAGGATATTGAGAAAATTGCTTCGAAAGAGAAAGGAATAAGTGAGTACCTAGATTTGATTGTTTCTAAGTTTGAGTCATAATTCCATTTGAACGGTTTTTGTTTTTTCGAAAGACAACATGTTCTTACTCTCACAGAAGTCTGAAAATTGGATCTAACTGGGTTTGGTAGCTTAATTTAACATTCATTCCTCCTATTTTCTCCACAAGAACAACCCTGTGAGATGAGTGGGGCTGAGAGAGAATAACTGGTCCAAAGTCACTCAGCCATCTTTCATATCTAAGGTGGGACTAGAACTTACAGTCTCTCAGTTTCTAGACTGGTGCCTTAGCCACTAGACCAAACTGGCTGTATGTAAGAAATTATTATAGTTGTATAGTCACCAGATGTTTAAACTCAATTTGACATTTTTGACCACCTCTCAAGTCATTCCCAAGGACCTGGGATAGGCATTTTTTTTGGTTTGATGGTGTTAAAGATATTGCCTCAGGGTGTGAGCTGTTCCAAGTAAAGCTGCCTTTTTCAACCGACTGATGATGGTTTTGTCAGTGCTGACTATGTTCAAATGGTGCTCCAGGTGTTTTGGGATTGCATCCAAGGCACCTATTACTATTCACACTATCTTTGCTTCTTTTTCTTCTTCTTTTTTTGCCATAGTCATTCTACTTCTCTTTGCAGCTGTTTATGGTTTGTGATTTTCTCCAGTTCTTCCTCTTGTATTCTTCTGTCTCCAGGTAGTACCGCATCCACTATCCACACTAATTTTTATACACACAACAATGTAAATTACAGCTGCCAGTTCTTTAGCTGATGCTATCAAGTTTATCTCAAGAACCTAGGAGGTTGTTTTTTGGCATAATATATCAGTGAATCCAAGCAGTGGGACCTTTTGTAGAAATTTTGTCACTGTGGAGATTTTCTAAGTGCTGTCTAAGATTTTTTGGTATGACACAAGTTTGCCAATAACCATTTTATTGGTTTATACCATAATCTCTTAACTTTTCAGATCTTTAAAAATTGCTATTCTGCCCTTTATATATTTATATAAAACTCAAGTGTGTGGAATTACCTCATGCTCCGGCTTCCTATTTTCTATACAACAGCAACCCTCTGAGGTAGATTGAGCTGAGAGAGTGCAAAGTCACCCCTCTGGCTTTCATATGTAAAAGGACCTAGAATTCACAGTCTCTTGGTTTTTAGGCCAGCACCTTAAGCACTACACCAAACTCTCTCTCTCTATGTATTCTATGCACTATGAATTCATGATATTTTCAGTTTGCTGCATATTTTGCATAATGTTTTACAGGACACATTACACAAATACAAAGACCTGAAATGCTTTCAAAATTCATTAGGGAGTCTGTGCATGTATAATTCATATATAGATCAAGTGGATAATGGAGAAGCAAAATTTATTCACTGTACTCGTAATGGGGAATTTCTAGAGGAAAGTGGAACTCTTTTTTGGTCCCTTACATTTAATAGATTTGATTTTATGTTAATTCAGATAAATACATTTAGGGTAAAATTGATATTTCTATGAGACATAATAGCTTATAAAAATTACTATTGGTTGTAGAATGCATAATATAGTGTGTGTGTGTGTGTGTGTGTGTGTGTGTGTGTGTGTGTGTGTGTGTAAAAATGTTTAGGGTGTAACTACAAAACATAACCCCTAAGCCTGTTTCCTTGCTAGTTTGACAAGTTAGTTCAGTTATGTAATCGCTATGTTCAGTATAGATAACAGAGATGCAGATAAAGGTATTTTCAACAGCATTGCCATTTTATTTATTCTGCAGATTGTGTGTAATATTTGAGCTAAGTTATTCAATATGTATATTTTTGGACTGATTTCATAAACCTAACTTAAAATTTCACTGTGCACATTCATTTCTTCTTGATTTGAGATGGGAAGGATAAATTCCAGGGAAAATCAACTAGTTCAGAAGAGTATATCATGTTAGATACATTAATGGGAAAAGTGATTTAAAGCCAATGTTTTTTTTAGAGTTCCTTTAGAGAAATAATAATAGACTGGGAAGAATTTGAAATTCCTCTGGATCTGTGCTGAAGGATCCTCTTGATATTTATTCTACAGTATGTCCTAACAGAATTGGAATTGCCTCACTGCTATTCTGTTGTTCTGTTACAAGTCTAATTTCTTACAAGAAAAAGCTATGTAACTTAATATTTTTTGCTATTTTTTTGTGGCAGTGATTTTAAAGGAACTCTGTGTGTTGGGTAGCTGTATGCATAAATAAGCCTAATTTGCCATCTGCTATTTTGTGGTAATTTGCAAAGTTTTCAGGAATTGTTGAAAATTTCTCAAAGGATATTCTGAATCTTTATTATCCTCTCTGATGTTTTAATGAATAATAGTTTTCCCTAATCTATATAAGTTTTCAAAATTATAATTATGATTATTTCTTTGACAGCATCTATGTCAGTGAAGGATATCTTACAGAGCTTAGTTGATGATGGTATGGTAGACACTGATAGGATTGGAACGTCAAATTATTTTTGGGCCTTCCCAAGTAAAGCATTGCACACAAGAAAATGTAAACTGGAAGAACTGCAGAATCAGGTAATTCTCCATGCCTCCTGTTATGCAAAAATACAGTGATCACTAAAAAAATTATTTCCAAATAAGTATTTTCTCATTTAACTTAGTTGTGCTGTATCTTCCTTATTTTTAAGTATTTTTTATTCTTTTAAGTATTTTACTATTTGTATTATTTGAATTTATAGTGTTTTGTCTCAAATATTTACAATGTTGGTGCTGATTTTTTTCAGTGGTTTTGAGTCATCTATATGAGCTAGTGATTAGATTTTAGATATTTGTAAAAAGCTGTTCATTTAATAGCAGGCAAAAGACACATTAATTACTTTGTAATTAATTGTAATGTGTAATTAATTTGGTAATGTGTAATTACCAAATTTAAGCCCTTTCAAATTATTACAGTAACTGTAACTGTAATAATTTGAAAGGGTTTAAATTTGGTTTACACATTCTACATATTTTATTTATTAAAATATTTTATTTTCAAATGTATTTATTTATATACTGCCCATCTCACTGTCTATCACTTGATTCCAATAGCCTTCACTATAGTGTAGTTACCTATACTTTTTGGATCTTTATATCCATTGCCACAGTTAGCATCAATACATATTTTGGAGTTAATTGTAGGAAAGCAACAAAAGAATGGTTCCCTTTCAAAAGTTGTGCCTTAGAGAATGAGAATGTTTACATTTAAGTTGATCACCTTCACTAAGAGGATTTTTAAAGCAACATACAAGTAATCCTCGAGTTACAACCATAATAGATCCTGCTCACTGCATTTGAAAATTGGGATGGCGTTAAATTACTTACTTAAGGAGTCCCTGCTCTCCAGTGCACTTGTTAAATGAATGTGCAGGTGTTTAAGTGGAATATGGGGTGCCTCGGGTGGGGGACATCCTAGTACAGGCACAAGCCATGTGCCTCCAGTCTTCCAAGGCCTCCCCAGCCACCCAGTGAGATACTCCATGCTCTGCATCCTTGGGATCTTACAGCCAGTTGGAATTCCTCTGCACCCTACACCAATCCCCCGTATCACCAATCACTTACCTTTCAAAGATCTCCTGATATCAAAATATCGGGGTACAGAAGGATTATCTCAAACTTACATTTTTTCCAGTCTTGTTAGAGTGCCATTAATAAGGTTGAGGTACAGTTTTGCTACTTGTTTACAGTTGTGGTAATTTGTAATACTGTAGAAACGCAAATGCAGGTAATCTTCAACTTCCAAACTTTCAAAGTTATGACAGACACTTTCCCCAAAAGCTACTTATAACCTGGTTTAAAAATTACAGCCGCTGCAGCACTCCTGCACCTTAATGCCCTTAACATTTGCCCTTAATGACTGACTGCAGGGATGCTATAGCCTCCAACACCCCCTGCCGTCGTCCCTGCAGCCATTCATCCACCCAAGGGAGCTCAGGCCAGCTGTAGTGCACATGAAGCAACTTCCTTACAACCCAGCCACTCAGGGATTTGCAGGAGTAAACCTGTTCCAGGGCTCAGCTTCTGAAAGAGGTGCCTGGCCCAATATTGGATCAGCTTTCTTACACAGGTAGCTTCATGACAAATTCTGCTACTGTGGGAGGGGGATATTTTTTAATGCATCAGTGGGCCTGGACAGCCAAGACCCTCTAGGCATGATGGGTCAAGTAGAAGGCCTAGACCTCTCAAGAGTGGAGGGGGAGTGAGGAGGCCGGTGGACTAAGCCTGCAACAAGTTTCTGTGTGCCAGTGAGTTTTACTGGCTAAGGCCTTCCAGGATTAGTGGGGCAGTGAAAAGGGCCACAGGCCAGGTTTTCTAGTCAGTCACGGCCTCCTGGCCTGCAGGAGATTTCTGCACCCTGGTGGGTGCCAGGCCTCCAAAAGCCTTCCCTGAGGCACTCCTGCACAATCGCTTAATGGCTCATATAGTCACTTCATGACCACAGTGGAAAGAAATGGGGTTGCAGATGTTGAACAAGATGATCACGTGGGTGTCTCACATAATATCCATAACAACTTACCAAAATCCTGGGCTAAATTAGGGTTGTCAGCGAAGCACTTTATTACAACTGCAATAGCCACCTTGAGTTATTCATAAGAATAATAAAGGTGGGATTAAAAAAAATTAAATAAGATGTGGCTGTGCTTTTTTTTTCTCTTTTCTTGATAGCAATTACGTGTCACTTCATGACCAATTTTTAATGGATCTTAAAACAACTATACACAAACATCTATTAACATACACAAATATACACAAGCAGATTAGCATAAACACTAAAGGTGTGAAAACCATAGTAAATAAAGAAGCAAGGATGAAAAAAAGCAGATTATAATGTCTGGTAAATTTTAAGTTGTTGTTCCTGAAACTAAGATGTAAATTAGATGCTAGTTAATAAATAGCAAATCCTTTTTGGCCTGTACAGTATTTGAGACAAAAAGAGAAATACAGGTAGTCCTTGACCTATGACCACAACTGAGACCAGAATTTCTGTCACTAAGCAATGTGGTAGTAAAGCATGACATCATGTGACTGTGTTGCTTAGTGAAGGCAGTCTCCGTATTCCCTATTGCCATCATTAACCAAATTCCATTGGTCATTAGTGAGGACGCACCCAATCTAAGCCATCAGGAATTGGTCCCTCCTAGCCCCAACTCTTGTTTCTTCCAAGATAAGAGACTGCTTCACGTTCAGCTCCCTCCCACAACTGCCTATTCCCTCCCATCTCTGCCCTTTTGGCTACCCTGCACCCTGTCTTGCAGGATGATAAGCAGTCCCAGAATCACATAGCTCTGGACCTTCTTGCCACATTGGAGCTCAAGGGCTTCTTAGCAGGCCATGTCTTTGATGCTGCACAAAACCCATAAGCTTCTGTGCAGCAAGAAGCCCAGCCAGCAAAGTAGCACAAAGCCACAGCTGTCCTGGGAAGCCAGAACTGCCACAGCCCAGTTCCACCTGCCAGCAGCCTCACCACCTTCCACTCCAAGCCCCCTGTTGTTCTACACTCCACCCAGATTCCCTCCCCAGCTGACCTTCACTGTCTTCTTGCTCCTGCTGCCAAAAGTATGTCCAGTGTGGCTCTTTGTGAGACAGCAGCTGGCCACATGAAGCCATGTCACCCATGTCACATGAAGAAACTGCCATGCACGATCTGGGAAAGAAAGTTTTGTGTGGCCAGCAACTGTCTCCCAAAGGGCTAAGCTGGGCATGCTTGGTCAGCAATGGGAGCAAGAAGACTGCAAATGTCAGCTGTGGCAGTAGGGACTACACAGTGAAGGGGGGCAGAGGTCAAAATGGGAGGGGAGATAGGGAAATGAAGGTAGTTGAATCTCCCCTGCAGTCATAAATGCAGGTGGGCTGCTAAGCTCTTGAATTTTGACCATTTGACTGGAGCCATACTTTGGGGATTAGTCGTAAGTCCATTCACTGCTGCTATAATGATTGAACAAATGGTCTTAAGTCAAGGAATGCCTATTGCAGATTTAAGGTGTGTGTGTGTGTGTGTATCCCTCTACCTGCAAACCAAGTGTGTGTTAAATAAACCCTTGACAAACTCCAGTATAATCATTGCATTAGAGCAGGAATCTCCAACCTGGGCTGCGGCTTACTAGTGCAATAGGCTCACTGTTTGCAACTGGTCTGCAAAGCTGGAAAGATTGGGGAACTCTGAGCTAGAGGATACAAAATTTTCAACTGTACTATCTTCTTAATACACAGAAAATGGAAATCCCATGCTTCTTTCAACCAAATATTATAATTCAAGTAGAACAATTTGGCTTGGTTCTGCTGTGAAATTCATTATGTTTCCATAATGTCTGTCAGAATATTCCGAGCCACACCCATAATAGCAGCATCTGACTGTCCCTGTCAAGAAAACAATTCTCTTTGGGCTTGTGTAATTTAACTTGTTTTGAGTAAAGTTTGCATGCTAACTGTGTAGTGGACTGTGCTTTTGGAGATGTGATCTTTTCATGATTTGTATTGATAATAAGAATAATTCTTATGCAAGAATTATTGCAGAAATTTAATGTGTGACCCTTCCCCTTATCAAATACTCTAATAAGATATTTGTACTGAGCAGGTTGTAATAGCTTTATTTTGTTTCTCTTACCATATTCCAAAATGTGTTAGTCTCTTCCAGGCTGAAAGTGATTTAGCTCTAGTATCTTCTTACTGGCAGGCAGGTATCTTGCATACTTTTTAGTAATAATTTTATTGAACATTAAGAGTTAAAAAGATAATTAATACAAATTAAAAAATAGAAAAAAATAAACGGTGCAGAATATGAGGAAAGGAATTTTAAATATATAAATATGCAGTCTCATTTGATGACTGCCTTATTTGTAAACGTAGGCTCCTGCATACACACACACACACACGCGCGCACACACACAACACCAGCATTCCCCAACCTATCTGGGTTGGTGCATGGGGGAGGAGGGTGGGAAGAGGGGCATGCAGTTTCATTTCTGTGAGCAGCGGGGGGGGGGGGGGCGTGGCCCACAGGTTGGGGACCCCTGCACTACACAACACAAACATTTTTAGATATGGTTTGATATGTGTTACAGTTTGACGAGCATGGGAATATGAGAGAAAGTGTCAGGTTCAATAATCTTAATATCCAGCATCCTTATTAGGTTGCCTTAACAAATCCAAAACTTTTGTAAATAAAATGGAATGTTGTTCTGCTGAGCTTCTAGTAGATAGGGGAAGCTTTTTTATTGTCATTTTGTCCAAGTAATGAACTTACCATGCAAGGGCACCATTAATAACTTCATGAAACAGAGACCTGAATATGTGGTAGTTGTTATGAATGCTAGTTATGTTAGAAAAATAAAAGTTGGACAACGAGATGCAAAGTTGTATTTGGATATTACACGGATAACTTTAAAAATCTTTGCAAATATACTTTTTCTGTCTACTGAGTTGCTTTGCTACCCTGCTCTTCTTAATACAATATAAAGGAACATTTTTCTAGTTTTTCATGTATAAAAACACCAATGTTATGATTGTTTTTTTTACCATATGCAATTACCAACTAA